AGCAAAACAAAGCGAAAACAAAGCAAAAAAAAAAAAAACTAAGTTAAAACTAAGCTCTCCCTAAAGGAACAAGCCTAGCTCTAGCAACTCCACTTAAATCCTCCAATAAAACGGCCTGAAGATTCCGGGGGACCACTTCAAAAATCACTATCTTCCGATCCGAGTTGACACCAAAGTTAACTAACCAGTATGCCGCCCGATTAGCTTCCCTATAGCAGTGACTAATCGTCACACTCTAACCTTCACGAGCCAAGATAGATTTGCATTGCCGAATGATGTGAATATAAGGGGAAGTAGGAGGACAAGGGTCCACCAACAAGCGAACTACAGTCTCTGAATCAATGGATAATTGAACTTTTCTATGCCCACCATTCCAAGCCACCACAAGGCCACGCATAACTCCAAGAAGCTCAGCTTTCGTATTCGAACAAATCCCACAATTAGAAGCAAACAATTCAAAAAGCTCGCCCCCACTACCTCTGATCAAGCCATCAGCACCAGCTTTGCCCGGATTTCCTCATGAAGCACCATCAGTATTGAGCCTAACCCATCCCTCACGAGGAATCATCCACATGATGAAAATCTCTTCTCGTCTTTGATTCTTCTCTGTATCAAAATTGAGAGGGTTCACCATTGCCCTGTTAATGTCACCTACTCTTGCCATAATGAAAGAAATATGGTCAAAAGGAATATCCACATCTCGAGCAAAGCACCTTTCATTTCTCCATCTCCATAGCCACCAACAAGTGACAATAAATGCTGAAAGAACGTGTAAATGTTTTGTAAAGTACATACAATTGTTTTGTAAAGAACATCAAGTTTTATGTTTTTTTTTTGTTTAAATATCTAAAAGACATATGTAATATTGATAAACATGATAATATTATGTAATGAACATTATTTATACTACCCACTTTAATTTGAAGATAAAATTCAAAGAACATTTCACAATAAGCAATGAACATTATGACATAAATAAAAGTACATGGAACTGACAATCAAATAACATGGACATATGCTGACAATCAAATAACTTGGACATATTTTTTTTCACTCTTTTTTGGGGCAAATATGTTCTTTTCGCTCTATGTATATGTTTCAATACAATTCTCCTTTTACCAAAAAAAAACTAAAAAACAAAAAAAAACAAAAAACAAAATTGGAAAAAGGTGATTATAAAGCTCATAAACCGAAGAAAAAAAGAAAAAAAAAACAAACACCATAAATGCAGACTCTAATAAGCAGCAGCGAGCTCGGCATCTTGGGCGAGCTTCTATGCTCTGCTCTTTCCGAGCTCAGAAGCTCGACTATAACCCTAATTTCAGGGGCGGATCTATTAAGGTGCACAGTGAGTCACGTGACTCACCAGCACAGGAAAAAAAAAATCTAAGAGACCGCCTATTACAGATAGGGGGTCTCTTTGTTGCTTCTATTTGAGATTAGCCCACTGTCAGTTTTTTAAATATCAAAGAGACCGCCTATTAAAATATCAGATAGGTGGTCTCTTTGTTGCTTCTCTTGCCACCACGTCATTAGAGACCTGTTCTCTAGATAACATGTCTCTTTTTGTCAGCCATTGAATTAGAATAATTTATTGCGCTGCTTTTATTAAAGAGACCTGTTATATTTGATAACCGGTCTCTTAAGTTATCTTACTTTTTTTAAATAATTCTTGTTTTTAAGTAAAAAAAATCATAAAGTTAGTTTAATGTAATACTTTTATAGTATGTATTTTCATATCCTATTTTTGGATTGAAATCATTTTGGTGAAATATAAATTTTATTTTTTTTATATATAATTTTTGGATTGAAACAAGTGATCAATTATTGATGGTGACTCATAAGTTCGAAAATCCTAGATCCGCCACTGTCTAATTTCCCAAAAAAAAAAAAAAAAAAAAAAAAAAAAAAAAACTATAAATAGACTCTAAAACATGAGCTTCCCTAGTTTTCTTACAAATTCATTCACACCACCTTCCCTTGTTTTCTTTCTTGCTAAACAATGTCAAATTGGTCTGATCTTCTACGACCACTTTCCCGAGAAATCTTTGCCAAGCTCCCTGAAAATCCTGAAGATAAGGGAAATTTCAAGCTAGTGTGCCGTAATTAGTGCCTTTCATGTTACCTCCAAAGTGGCTTTCACAGGGTCACACCCCTGTCTCCATGCCCTCTCATAGGTAATTTGTGTTATTAATATTCCCTCCTTTCCTTATACTTTGCTCGGGACTGTAACATTGGGTTGCTTATTTGATAATAATGTAGCATGTTTTCCTATTCCTATGTATTTATCGGCATTTATTTGTTATCTTTGACAATTGACATTGTATTCAATCTAGATTATGCAGGGGACCTATTGTGATCCGACAACGCGGTTTCAAAGTCCAAAGCTCGAGTATACAACCCGTTAAGCTCCTATCGGCCAGTAGAGAACCTACACAAAGAGAAAGGATTAGCTAGCCCCGGGGTGATCCAGGGATAACCAAAATTTTGTCAAGTAGACCTGTCTGCTATCGGCAAACAAGGTCACTTGGGGGAAAAACGGAGTTTTTTCGCTCCCACCTTTTTTTTAAGTAGACTTGGTCTGCTTACGGAGTTACGGCACACAAGGTCACTTGGGGGAAAAACAGAGTTTTTTCCCTCCAAAATTTTTGTCAAGTAGACCTTGTCTGCTATCGGCAAACAAGGTCACTTGGGGGGGGGGGAACGGAGTTTTTTCGCTCCCACCTTTTTGTCAAGCAGACCTTGTCTGCTATCGGCAAACAAGGTCACTTGGGGGGGAGGGAAACAGAGTTTTTTCGCTCCCACCTTTTTGTCAAGTAGACCTTGTCTGCTATCGGCAAACAAGGTCACTTGGGGGGAAAAAACGGAGTTTTTTTCGCTCCCATTTTTTTTTTTTAACTAGACCTTGTCTGCTTACGACACACAAGGTCACTTGCATGAGACCCCCTCCCTAGAGGAGGACAAGCCACCCAGGCGGGAGATTCTGCTCCTGAAGAATTTGTTGCATCAATGCAACCATTTCCTCCTTTCGGGTGGCGTAATCAGGAAATTGAGTTACGGGCGGCCCGCGCCGGGGCCTCTTCTTTGGTCTTGCCTCCTCTGATGGACCACCTGGCTGCCCATCCTCATCGTCGGGAATCAGATACGGATTCTCAAAGGATCCCGGTGGGATACTGGACCCCCCGGGGGGGAAACGGAGTTTTTTCGCCCCAAAATTTTTGTCAAGTAGACCTTGTCTGCTATCGGCAAACAAGGTCACTTGGGGGGAGGGGAAAAACGGAGATTTTCGCTCCCACCTTTTTGTCAAGCAGACCTTGTCTGCTATCGGCAAACAAGGCCAGTTGGGGGGGGGGAACGGAGTTTTTTCGCTCCCAAACGGAGTTTTATCTCCGAGAGTTAAATACAACGGTAAGAGTATACAAACCAAGAAATTTCAATATAATGTTAAATTACAACTTCCAAGAAGTCATCCTAAATATTACAGTACATAATTTCGGAAATACGCTCGACAGAGTACAAGAAACATTATAATTATACCAAATCTGTTTGTATTACACTTCAATTCTGGAAAAAGAAAGCCTGAACATATCATCATATTTAGGGATGGAAATATTCAAACCCAGATTCCTAAATGAGAAGTAGAACCCAAAGTTTGTTCAATATCCTAAAGTGAGAACGTCGATCTATAATCAAACGTCCTTACTTGAGGGGCTAGTTGTATGGGATGATAAGTGAAACAGACCGACATCTTCATAAATATGGATATGAACCCAGCATCACTGTTAAATAGGCTGATATGTTCCATAAAGCAGACATATCGGCTTGTCGGTACTCGGCACGTGGCAACAATAGCTTGACACTTGGCAAGAAAAGCTTTGCATGCTTTGTAGCCACCTGTCATGAGATTTATTATAAATAGTAGGTTAAACTTCATTAATGGTAAGCATTTATTAGTCTCTCTCTCGCTCTCTAAATCTCTTTCTCTCTCTTATTTCTCTTTCTTAAACGCTTTCTGTTTTTGTCATCAGAGTGGTTATCCCCGGATCACCCCGAGACTAGCTAATCCTTTCTCTTTGTGTAGGTTCTCTTCTGGCCGATAGGAGCTTAACGGGTTGTATACTCGAGCTTTGGACATTGGAACCGGGTTGTCGGATCCTTGCAGGAACACCTATAATGACTGATGAGATCATTGAGACGCTTCCTTCTTCAAACAATCTGGAAGGCTGTAGTTTACAAAAGCGTACACAGAAGGGTGATTCTGTTTATGCTAATATGAGGAAGAGAGGCAGAAAAGGAGTTTCCAAAAGAGCGCCTTTAATGTAATCTAGAGTAGTAATGTAATGTAGAGTATAGATTAGCGATGTGATTAGAGTGATTAGGATTATAGTTGCTTTGAAGAGCTAACTTGAAAGCTAACCTAACTGATTTTGATCGTTGCATGATTTGGATCGTCAAGAGCAATGCAGTATCTTTTTATGGAATCATATTTCAACTATCACTGCTGTATTATTGTACAAATTACAAAAGAAATGGACTGTTTTCTTGCTAATTTAAATTGGCTTGTTCTAAGGCTGGACTTTTGCGAGTATTTTAGACTTATGGTATATACTCAACTATGGTAGAATTTGTTATATATACCAATGGATAAATTACCCAGGTGTACTGTACACCCAGTTGTACAGAACAAGTTCTCCAACTATGGAATTGCCATGTCTTTGCCTTTGAAATTCTATGCCGGTAGAAGTTGCCGTGTCATGATTCCGGGAGCAACCAAGCTCACATCTAGTAAGGAAAGATCCTCTTCTCTTCTGCTAACGAAATTAAGGTGATGGGTGTTCTGTGGTCATTGTCTGACTTAAGGATGCATCTCTCCGTTTGTGACTTGGTGTAGGATTGAAAGAAGGGATACTCTAAAATAATACGAGTACAAGCTATCTCAGTAAGGCATTTTGTTCATAAAGAAGAAATAGTGCAAAGAGTAAAGAAAACTAGATAGAGAAGAAATGAAGGGAAATCACATGTTGAGGGGTTATGCCACCATTTATAACGTACATTAACTCTGAGCATAGTTACTTAATTGCTAACTCCCCCTTGAACCTTATACAATTCACTAATCTCTGCTCAACCAAAACAATCGATTATACATGAAAGTGGTACATGTTAGCTACATTTGGAAAGTGAGAAAAGGAAAACTATATTACAATTTAATTTTGGTACGCAATGACACAATTTTACATAACATTGGTTGATAACAATATATCTGTATATGTATTCGCGTCTATTCAATAATCACATTATACAAAGATACAATTAATTCATATCCTCCTCATCCAATGTTGGCTTCGTGATGGGGATTGACCATCTTCCTAAATGGGCAGTATAATTCATGCATCGAATAATGCCTTTTCCACTTGGTCCATCCGGGAAGTCAATGACGCTAATACTACCTTCATCAAGATGGAACGACCCTAGCCACTGTTTCGATAAATTTAGACAATGCGTCATCAGTGCAATGTGAAGAGTCGGATGTCCGACAACAACCACCACTTCTGAAGAACCGGATAATTCATCTAATAGAGTTTGCCATACTTTTCTTGTCTGATCCCATACAGGACTAAAATTTGGTACGAGTTTTGAATCGACAACTGCTCCTGTAATTAACGGAGGAAGAGAAGGAAATTAGAAACTGTAAAATTTCTGTTGCATGACTTGCATTGCAGCCCTCATTTTTTTTTTTTTTTTTTTTTTTGGCCTTCATTTTCTTTTATGGATGCTTACTTGTTTTAACTGGCCAAGAATGGTTTCCACAGCAAGGTCCTTCATCTCTTTAACATCCACATGTTGGGGTACACTATCAACTCCTAAGCTCTCTGCAGCTTCTTGAATCTAATTAAAAGAATCAGATCGAGGTAAGTAGTTGCATCTCTTAAATGCAGAATAAAATCTAATACATGTAATGACGTCAAGAAAGATGAAATTGAGATAATGGCCTCGAAAACTTCGATCAGCTTACCTTGGATATGATTTGTGCTGCCTCCATTGAGGCCTTTCCAGGGCTGCTAACTACTGTATCCACTTTCAAATCAAGAAGTAGCTCTGCAGTTTTCTGTAACTGTTATCATTCAAGAATCAGTTTATGTAACAAGCATAGATAAACACCTGACATAAGGCAATCAAGTTTGAGTCACCTGAATACGGCCAAGCGCACTCAAAGGTTGATTCCCTAAAAGAGAGAGATTAGCCTGTCGAAAAAATTACCTGAAGTTCAGAACTAAATTTTCAGAAAAGACCTACAAAAGTTGTAAGAGACTAGACATCTTTAAATTTAATCAACTATGATGAAATTTCAGGGTGAAACAGAACAAAATTTGATGATTTAAAGATTTAGAACCCTTCTCTACACCTCCCAAGAAAATATGCATATGAACACGCAATTAGTATTTGCTTCTTAATCGCCAGGTCAGCTGATATATTATATACTATCTTGTAGCCTTTTTCCAAACATCATATCTAGAAAACCATATTACAAGCATTTACTTGAATCACAATAAATTTATGAATAGCTTTAAGTTCAACTGCATGGAATCCATACGAACTTAGGTATATCCTTGTTTATAATGATGAGAAACAGATGCACAGATATACATAGTAAGTTACTTGCGCACCTCCTCATTGTTCACTAATGATCCATGAGAAACTAGGATGATGCGCTTATTGGCTTTCCGACCTGCAGAACTTCCAGCAGCAATAGGTGAATTAGGAGTCTGCAGTACAACCATTACATGTCATAAAATAAAATAGATCCACTTAATAATCATCAATGATGAAGAAGAGCTTCATCAAGGAAATGACAATTAAACAATGCTTACATGGTGGAACTTCACTGGTAGCATTCTAGATACTAAATTTTATAATACCGCGTACGAATAATAATGCACTCATGTTTCAGACAGTGCAAAGGAGAAAGGATTGCATGAAAGTCATTGCTTAAAACAAAACCCAAATTAACATGTTTCTCCAGCAATTCTGATGAGCTTTGAGATGTATTTTAGATTACTTTTACTAATTTGGATTCAGTTCAATTCAAAAATATTAATTATATCAGTTCAACTAAATTAAATTAAAGGGGGTTTAAAAAAAAATTAAATTGAAGGGCAAAAAGTGAGGTCAGATCAGGTCAGTTCACTTTAGTTTGATTCAGTTCAATGCATCTTATGCTTACATTCAATTACATTCCAGTTTAGAAAAGTTAAGTACAATTTACTTCAGTTCAAAACAATACAGTCTTTCTTAAATTTGACATTTGCCACAATACTACTAGACCTAATGAGATTCAAGGGGATTTACTGCTTTCCTTGGCATTTTTTTGCCCAAATGTCCATCACAAAGCCCAAGGCGTTCAAAGCTTGCTGGAGGCAAAGGATGAAAGACTGGAGAAATGTGACGATTTCATATAGCAATTTACTAAATACTTCCTTGTTGTTTTTAACAAGCCAAACAGTTAGCAATAAGAGAAAATAAAGCATGTTCTAGACAATATGTCAAGTAAAACGTCAATTACTTACTGAACTACAAACAAAAGGCTCACTGACCAAAGGTATTTAAACTAGAATTAAGAGCCATAGCAGTCAAATGTAAGGCTTCTGTACCTGATTTAAACGATTAAGGCAGATATATGGAGACTTGTCCTCTGCCTGAGGAATGAAATCTAACACACTCACACCACAGTTGCTCTGAAGTAAAACTCTGAAATACTCAGTTCCTAATCCTAATAAGAGAAAAAGACATGACAAGAATTTAGATAACATGCGTATGTATATCTGAACATCACACAAGAAAATAAAAATTTACCGATTGCTGTTGCAACAAGAGCTTGATTCACTGCATTGTGAGCAACAATAAGTACTGACTTGCTTTCATGAGCTAAAATTCTGTCCCAACAGCTTCTGGCACGTGTCCACAACTCCCTGACTGGATAATGACCATCTATGACAAAGTTTGGAGCATCTAGCTTCCATTGACGAAATGCAGTACCGAATTTCTCCTCCCCCTCATGTTTTAAGAGCCCCTACAGACAATCAAATGCATCAATAACTGGAGTTACAGGATCATGACAATCCAAATTTTATTGAAGGTTCCATCTACTTAAACTGGAAAGTCAAACTCAACTTGAAAAGAATACAGGTCTATTTCCCTCAGGTCAACATCTGGGACCATAGGCTCCTTACGGTTACCCCAAATAATTTCAGCTGTTCGCTTTGATCTAGTCAGAGGACTGCAGCAACAAAATAAATAGCAGTCAGGAAATAACCTCAAACTGAGAGCAGAAAAATGGCAAAAAAATTGTGGTTGTTCAGATTTTGGGACAATATCATTTAACAAATTCCATGTTGCTTCTGATATTACACCTCAAGCCTCATAGCCAAAATGATTTCTATTGATAAAAAGGCAAAAGACGGGAAGCCTATGTCCTCAAAATTTTGACTTTATCGCTGGCCATATCCCATCATTTACTGTCTTTGTGGCACTCACTATAGCTTTGACCTCAGAATTAACCAATCACCACCTAAACAACCTATGCTTATTACCACCGCATTACTCAAAGTCTCAAACAGTTCATTCAAAGTCTAAAATACCTTCATCAAAATTCTCAAAGATTCAAACACTTCTTATCAGAGATTAAGCTCGTGGAACTTCTGTAAAATCCAGATTTAACCCTCATACCATAATACACACAACACACCTTGTACCCAAATTTGAACAAGGGTGACTTTGACTTTCACGGTCAATCATAATTTCTACCTTTCAACCAAGCAGCCACTCCACCCCCCCCCCCAAGACGTGCATGTTTGGAAATGTACGAAGCAGTTTACACACATGCCATGTTGTATTGCAGCCAGACAGGAAACAGGATCCAAAAACCGTTGGAAGCAATACTAATGCCTGCTCCTAAGATCCGTTCATCAGCAATATTAGCTATCCAACCAATCATTGATTTGAAGAGTAACAAGAACAAAATTACCCTATCTACATATCCAAATCCATTTCTAGATCAAAACCAAAATCACAAAATTCAATATCGCGTAAAGTAGGAGCATTAGTTTTCCTGTCAATGACTGGTCTAAGTGCAACATCACTGAGACATTGCGGTTTCATTCTTATGATAGTGTTGTGAGCCTGTTTGGTATTTTTGGATGCATCAATATGAGTGAAATGGCTAATATGTGTGCCGTAAGTCTACTTCTGGATTTGGGATACTTCATCAATGGAGGCGTTTTTTTGTTGCTATGATCTGTTGCTGTTCAGTACTTGACTAGTCTGGATCTGGGACGATATACATTCCGACAGTGGCAGACTATCAAGCTACAGCTAATGCATACCCTTGCACCCCACAGTACTTATCCTAGCCAAGTTTTAAAAATTGTTAAGGTGCGTTATTGATGAGCAGAACTTAACCAACAGTGTTTTAGCATTATGGAAAAAGGGAGTATGATTAGGCGAACATGTGTTTTTAAAAGCAAAGGGATCAACTAAGGGCCTGACACAATCTCTTTGGATAGGATCTATGCTTTGTAGATCTAATAGAGCTGACCTAGTTATGATTCATATGAGCTGAGATAGTCAAGATGCAGTTCCAAACCAGTACTATGTTGACTCAATCAGAGTTGCTTAGAATGGATAGGTTAGCACACTTAGGTTACTCCTCCCCGAAGTTAGCCTCACTGACTTTCAAATTTAAGTCTTTTCATGCCCTAGATAAATAGAATCAAATTTGCAATATTAGACAGTTCATGCATAATTGACTAAATTAGGCTTCCTTTCTTATAGATACTTACAGCTGTATATAAGGTTACATGATAGATACTGAAGAATGAAGAAAAGTTTACAAAAGGGGTAGAAGTTTGCAAGGTGTTCAAGCGCAGTGGTATAACACACTATACAGTTTGAGAAGGCTACTAAAACAACAGGACCTTAGTCCCTCGTCAAATATGAAAAATATTCTTTGACCATCTATAAAACCACAAAATTCAAAATCGCTTCAGATTCTGACTACATTTACACCCCAGTGAACACTTTGCACTTGCAACAAACTTCCACTAATCATTGTCCACCAAGTTTATCTATTGTCTCATAAAGTATTGAAATTAGTTGAATTTACTTTCGAGGATGAGGTATCAAAACAACCACTCAGCATTTCAAATTATGCCCCCATATAATAGTCACATGTATAGTTTTAGAATGTAAGAAAACAATTGTCATCTTAAAAAAAAATAGTACTTGGTAGTTAGTAATACAATTGTTCATGATTAAATTTCCCAAAATAACCCAAATTTGACAGAGTTGTAAAAAGAGTATACAAAATACACACTCAAGACAATAACTCTTATTAAATAACCATTAAGCAATCTAGATCATCAGGGATAGTAACAATACTACAATAATTTCCATTTTCCAACCCAACACGATTACTCAATTCGTGGCTGTTATTCAAGTCACTTAGTCATCTGTATTCGGACTGCAGTAAAATCATACCATTCTACTATCTGGAACGTGATTTTAAAATCAATTACTAGTTTGCTACTCCCTCTACCCCATTTACTTGCAACATTTTAATTGGATATGCTTGCCCATGCACAAATTTGACCGTCAATATCTTTTATTATATAATTATAAAAAGTTTATATTAAGAGACTATACATTAAAATAGACTCAACAATATCTTACATAACTGAATTGGCTTTCATATAATAGCTAAAAAAGATGGTCAGAGTGAAAGTGTGAATAGGGTAAAAAGTCAAAATGTTGCGAGTAGTTTGCGACGGAGAGAGTTCTACACATGAACTTACTCAACTCAGCCTACACTTCAGTCAAAGCATTACTTGAAGAATACATATATTTCCCATATAATTCTAAACCCTGAAATTCTAATTTTCGAACATTATAACATAAAATCAACGAAATCCATAAGATCGAAAAATTAACCAAGAAAATGGAATTAAATACCTAGTAAAGCAGACATCAAAGGAATCATCGAGAAGCATCTGGCGAGAAGTTTCAGCTTGAGCTTCACCCTTAGTAGTAAGAACAGAGAAATTCGAGCTACCTTGAATTCTTCCCTCAGCATTCCACGTACTCTGTCCATGTCTCACCAACACCACCCTCTTCGCCGGAAAATCCGACCAAGATTCTGGTTCTATCTCTTCCAAAACTGCATCATTTACGGAGGAAGATGATCGAATTATCGAGAATTTAGGGTTCAATGCTGAAGAAATTCTACATTGGGAAGATTTTGGTATGATCAAAAAGGAAGAAGGTGAAATGGCGAGCATTTGATGGTGTGGAATAGAAAATTAGGGATTTGTTTTTGATTAATTTTGGCGCTAAATTGGGGTTTTTTGTTGGTTTTTTTTTTTTTTTTTTTTGGAAGTGTTGTTGCGGTTTTTTTTTAAATCGTATGGTTAGTTGGTTACCAATGTCGCTCAACGTTATCCTTAATTTTTGTATCATATGGATATGAATATTTCAGGGGAAAAAAAACGGATTTCCCTTACTGTCCATCCATGTAGGATTGGTACCAGGTTCGTTAATTTCTTTTTTATTATTAGTTTAGTAAAGAACCGCTAACGGTATAAACCGCTAACACCTTTAGTGGTTATAATAAGTAAATAGCTATTACCACTAGCAATTTTATTTTTTTTAAAAAAAATTAACCTATAAAACGCTAATGCCAGTAGCAATTTATATCTGTAAACCGCAAAATCTAAAACCGCAAATGGCATTAGCAGTTTGAACCTGTGAATTTGTCAAAGTACACAATAGTTATCTCCAATATAAATATGAAGCTGTAAAAATCCACAAGGCACTAATATAAATCCGTGACAAATCTGAAGGATTCATATCTTCGTCGTGTACAAATACTAGATATATAAATGTGTCAAAAAAAGGGATCAAATTATGGAGATAATTAAGGGCATGTTCTCATTGACTGAACTCAGCTGAACTGAACTGAACTGAATTGAGCTGAACTGAACTGAACTGAACTGAGCTGAACTGAACTGAGCTGAGCTGAACTGAACTGAACTGAACTGAACTGAATATTTTATAAGAGAACAAAATTAGGAGCTGAACTGAACTGAACTGAACTGAACTGAATTGAACTGAACTTAATTTCAACGTATGAGAACAGGCCCTAAGGGCCTTTCTCATACGTTTATTTTCAGTTCAGTTCAGCTCATTTCAGTTCAGTTCAGTTCAGTTCAGTTCAGCTCCTAATTTCCTTCTCTTATAAAATATTCATTTCAGTTCAGTTCAATTCAATTCAGTTCAGTTCAGTTCAGCTTAGCTCAGTTCAGTTCAGCTGAGTTTAGTCTATGAGAACAGGCTGGAGTTTGTACATTTGGGTCGTCGTCATATCATAACTAGAGGTACTAACAATCTTTGGGCTAGTAAAATAGACCAAAACCCAATTGGACGGATCCTATAAGGTCACACAAATAGCCTAGGTTGAGCATTAGAGGACGAGGCCCATGACGGGCCTCATCACTCTAGGTGGGCAACCATAGGGATAAATAAGGAGAGTTTTGGGTTTCATGACCTAGTCTAATTATAATAGTATTATAAATAGACTAGATGGCTAGGGTTTGAACATAACATTCTGTGATTAATTTGATCAATCCCTAATTAGCAAACACGAAACCTAACCCTCTCAAACTCCTCTATCTCTCTCTCTCTCTCTTTCTCTCTCCTCGGCACCGGTTCGTGGTGGTGGTGGTTCGAGCGGTGGTCGATAGTCCGTTAAAGGTTGTGATTGTGGTTCTTCCCCTTCACTCGATCAATCTTGTATTGGTGGACGGCTCGTTCGAAGCTCGTGGACTAAGTAGAGGAGCAACGCTTGGGGCTCTATTCTCTCCTTGATTTGCTTGTTAAATAGCTTCGTGGAATTTACGCTTCAAAGGTATAATTATGTGTCTTGTGTGTTATGCATGTGATCTTGGTATTAGGTACTTTATGAATATTATTCATGTTTTCCGCACTATAATACCTATAAAATCCTACAAAACCAACAAAAAATGCCTTCATCCAAGACATATAAAAAGACAAAGATCATAGCAAAGAGCCAAAGAGTATCCGGTTTAATATATACATAAAAAAAAGTCAATATGCATTTCTCCAACACAAACTAAACATAATTTAATCAAAACCTGAGCAAAATGTTATTTACATATAAGTTAAGACCAAAAAATCGCTTCTAGCTATCTAACACCTATGATACACGTTGCTTCTTTGAAGTATGTTCTGATGATCCAAATGCAGATTCATTAACCTATGTAATGGGTTAAAATAGTAGAACTCGAGGTGCATGATCGTCTCATGTAGGTTAATGGCAGTTGAGGAGTACAAGATTGAGGAGGAGAAGACTCATAATTCAAAGAGAATGGAGATGGGGTAGGTGTAGTATGTGGTGATATGAGAGAAGTAGGTGAGGTAGGATGTTGAAGAAGAGAAGTAGTAGTAGCAGGAGGGGCAGAAGCAAAAGAAAGAGTGGCAGTAGTAAAACAAGGAGTAGCAGTAGCAGCAAAAGCAGTAGGAGTGGCATTGTCATTAACAATAGGAATGTCAATGGCATTAACAATAGGAGTGGCAGCACTAGAAGTAGCAGTTTTAGTAGGAATAGGAGCGGAACCTACATCATGCAGCATGTATGCTTTGCCAATCAAGTTTATGCAAGGTCTCGGTGCAGGAACTTGCCAAACTTTGCAGGGTGTGCAATGCCAACTCCAAAGCTTTGTAATTAGGCAAAACGAGCTCCTTTCATCACACCATTGAAGCACTTAGACATATTTGTGGTTCGAATACCGTATCTAAAACCACCATCATGATGGATTAACCACTTATACAATGGCTTCTCTGCCAACCATTCACGTGCTTCCAAGTTCAATGCACCAATCCTGTTAAATTGGTATATGAACTTATTCTTTTGACGTGCATCCGCAACACGACCAAGCAGGTTTTTCAAGTGAGCATTCTTAAATTTGGAGTTGAAATCGGAGGCTAGATGACGAATACAAAATCTATGATGAGCATGTGGTTCTTCCCATCCATTGCCCAACGCGGTCATTATTTTCAAAATCGAGGCATGCCTATCTGAAATGACACAAAGACCCTCTCTTTGAGTGATAAATTGTCGTATGCATAACATGAACCATTCCCATGCATCACCCGTCTCACCTTCAACAATGGCAAAAGCAAGATCGAGGAAACAACTATAAATTAGCATCTGTGGACATGTCAATTAGAAGTGTCCCCTTGTCTTTTCCATAAAGATGGGTGCCATCAATGGTAATGAGTGGCCGACAATGGTTAAAACCATCAATAGATGGCTTAAAAGCCCAAAAGACTCTCTGGAACACATGAGTGGAAGGGTCTAATATTGGTGTCGTACACCGATGAACCATTGTACCCTCATTTGACTCTTTTAAAGCTTGCATAAATTTGGGTAACTCTTCATATGATTCATCCCAATCCTCAAAAATAGTAGTGATTGCCTTGTGCTTGGCTAACCAAGCCCTCTTGTATGTTATGGTATATATAAATCGATCTTTTATAACTTGCACTATAGCACAAATTTTCAGCTCGTATGAGATAAAGTATAACACCACACTCAAAATGGTCAATATTATTAACGGCTATTTCACCAAATGCCACTAATTACTTACAAAATTCACCAAATGTCATCAAGGTTTTCAAAATTCACCAAATGCCATCGAGCTTTTAAAAATTCACCAAATGCCATTAATGACTAACGGTCGTTAACTCCGTTAGTCATTAAGATTAAATCTTGACAAGTGTCATAATATGATTGGTTCATTTTAATTATTTATTTTAATTAATAAAAATAATTTTTTTTTTCTTCATTTCCGTGGTAAAAATTACTCGGGTATAGTTTTGAGGGTCATTTTGACCCATGAACACAAATTAAGCTCGGAATTGACAAAAAAAATAACGTAAATGCTCCGTTTTGTGTGTTGAAAATATTTCGTTTAGCGTGTCGTTATTTTTTAACCATCAAAATTGATCGGATAAGGTTTTGGGGGTCATTTTGACTCTTTATGAATAAAAATTAAGATCAGAATTGACAAAAAAAAATAGCATAAATGCTCCATTTTATGTGTTGAAATATATTTCGATTAGCGTGTCGTTATTTTTTAACCATCAAAATTGATTGGGTAAGGTTTTGGGGGTCATTTTGATCCTTTATGGTAACAAATTAAGCTCGGAATTGACTAAAAAATAACATATATGCCCCGTTTTGTATGTCGATAAAGTAATTTTTTTCGAAAAAATGCGAAACGGGGTATTTACGTTTTTTAGCCAATTTCGAGTTTAATTTGTACCCACAAAGAGTCAAAATGACCCCCAAAACCTTATTAGAACAATATTCATCACAAAAATCGAAAAAAAATATTATTTTTATTCATTAAAATGAATAATGATTGTGTATTAATTTTAAAAAGTAACGGTATTTGGTGAAATAATTTTCCAAAGTAATGGCATTTGGTGAAATAACAATTACATTAACGGAAAACTTACGTCCATATGCTATTAGTGGCACGAGGTGTCATTGTATTATTTGTCAGTGGTATTTGGTGAATTTTGAAAATTTTGATGGCATTTGGTGAATTTTGTAAGTACTTAATGGTATTTGGTGAAATGGTCGTATTATTGATTTTACCTACACTTTTGCTTGCATGAGGTCTTCGTACTTCACAACTCCAAATGTGGGAAGTTCTGGTAACTTGCATTGATTGCACGCAACCTCCAAGGACATTTGCACTTTTCCTTTCTTATGCACTCAACATATTTTTTAGGTTGCACTTCCTTCACTCGAAAAGTTTGATTTTTGGTTATAGAGTATTGTTTAACGGCGTCTTTTAACTGCTACAAAGTATCAAACTCTTGACCAACTTTAAACTCACCCTGAAGAGAAAATTTGTTTTTCCCCGACCAAGTTCTCCCAGAATCAAGCACTTTTGGGTCTAAATCTAGAACATTGTTAAAATCCTGTGTTGGTGCACTTTCCTTAATAAGAATCTCACTAGCTTCTCTCACATCATCATCTTCACCCTCATCACTATCCACCATAACATCATCACCTAGCATATCTAGCTCGGGGTGTAATGAATTATAATCACTAAAGGAAGCAAAGCCTGTATGAGGTGAGGGAGTTAGAGAAGTCACATTCGATAAATGATCATCAGTAAGCATTCTTGTAGATGATACCCTCCCTTCATTAGGAATTCTTCCCGGCGAGTTTGAGACCATTCCTGATAAAGATTGAACGGCAGGTAAAGAACCCGTGTTATCCGCCACACTTGCTTGCTTGGGAACCAATTCTATATACAACTGAATATTAGACATTGAATATTGTCTTACAGTATCCCACATGTTCTTTAATGAGCTATCACCATTCAATCGAATGACTACATATGAGTTGTGTATAGGATACCTCATTCTAATCTTAAACTCAAAATATCGAGAATCACACCTGCAACTTCATATATCTTACTCATAATCTCCGAGAAACACATAGAACTACTAACAAGTAAAAATCTATTCTCCCCACCAATATATGACACGTCACCTCCTGTTTCTACAAGTTCCCCGCGCATAAAACAGAGTAGAGGGAAATTTGACATCTCCATAT